CCCCCAAAACCCCAAAACCCCAAAACCCCATAAAAAGTTAGGAGAATTGATATAATAAATATTAAGATCATGAACAACTTTAAAAATTCAGAAGAAAATATAACTGATGATCTCTTGAATGAGAATGTGACTAGAAAGGCCATGATTTGATCTCTTCATAGAGAGACCATGGTAATGTCCACCCCGTTTGGTAAGAGGTCCATGTTTAAGCCATTCAGGAAGGTTGTTTCCTGACCTATTCCTGATTTGAAGAGAGAAGCCAGAGTTGATAATTTTGAATCATTTATTGAGAATAAAAATCCTTTCCTTAAGAAGAAATCTAATAAAACTCAGTACTGAACTAAGAATATCCAGGAAGACATTAGAAATTTACTCAAAAAGGCAATTCAGATCAGGAACCTTCACAACTTTGAGTGAGATCTAAATGAAAGTCCTAAGTTTGGCAGCCACGGATGAGGTGCCGATATTAATCCTAAAAATAAAGAAGTCACTGTGGGAGATCTCCATAATCCTTCTTGTTTATAATTCTTTCTCATAATAATTTTGAATTTAACATTTTGTCAAATAGGTTAGAAATTCTCATGAAATTAATAATAAGGGCATGTATGCTAGTTAGATATCTGAATATTCGACCAAAGGATACACGCCTTCATTAGTTCATAGATATTTCTTTTCTTCAGAATCGAAAGTCTCTTAAAGGATTTTGTTAAATTGCAAAGTCTTAAGCATATCAAGTATCTTGAACTTAAGTTGGTGGAATTCAGTAATCTATAATCTACTACCTTACTCTAACTTGTTCAAAATAGTCTTTTTGGAGTTCTTAGCTTCTTAATCTCTAACTCTACACTGAGGGATAAAGACTTTTGATAAAATTCTTAAGTCAATGTGATTTTAAGCAAAGTTGTTAAGATTTTTCTTAACCCTTATGCTTCACTATCTGTTCTCCCTTTTTGTTAAACGATATCTCCCAATGAGTTGTTCTTCCTTAACCCATGGCAAAGCCAATGGTGCTACAATCTGCAATGTCAAATCTCTTCGATACTTTTTCGTAGAAAATGTTTATATAATTTTGAAGGTGATTTCACCATTTTATGTTAAGAATAATTTTATTAAAATTTATCAAATTGATTTATGACCTTAAGGGCTATTTGTAATAGAATTTTGAGTATTTTAGCAGTGGCTTGTTTTGATAAGAACAGTAGGGCTCTTTTGGTTGTGAACATGGTTCTTTTGAATTTACCGATCAGACAATTCTTCGGTTAAAGGTTTTATAGTGTAATACCTGATATTTATGTGACTAAATTTGTTAAAATAGTGTTTAGTATCAAGGATGTGTTAATGTTAGTTGTGAATTAGCCAAAATAGGTAAGAGAACTTTACCAAAAAGATTGAAATATTTCCTTTTATTAATCTAACTTAATCATAGTCTAATATCTATTACGCGGTGAAGTAATTGTGATTCATGAAATTGATAAACAGATATAATTTTCACAAAATCATGAGCCATTTTGGGAGTAAAACTAATATTCAATCTGAAACGACCATAATGGGGTTTTGGGGTTTTGGGGTTTTGGGGTTTTGGGGTTTTGGGG